TATATATATTTTTTATTTTTTAAAAACAATTATTATTATTATTATTATTATTATTATTATTATTATTATTATTATTATTATTATTATTATTATTATTATTATTATTATTATGTATACCCTTAGGTCATTTTACATGTTAATCTAAATAGCTAATTTTTTCAAATATCTTTTTTACCGACCTTTGATATAATCTGCTGGTAAAATATGCTAATATAATCCGCGAACGCTAACCGCTAACTGCTAATTGAATAATAAAATACTTGGTAAATAAATATATAGTATTATTTTGTTTTATAACTTTGATATTTAATTAAGAAATAGTGAATAATTTTTTTTTAATAAAGACATTGTATGGACAATGTAGCGAATATAATCAATTGATGAATTTGAATGTAAAGAATTTTTATATTGGAGAAAAATAAAGACAATATAACTAATGAAATTATTTCTCTTAATTAATTTACTGATAATGAATAATTTTTTTAATAAAGACATTGTAGGGACAATGTGGCTAATATAATCAATTGATGAATTTAAATATAAAGAATTTTTATATTAGAGAAAAATAAAGACAATATAACTAATGAAATTATTTCTCTTATTTAATTTATTGATAATGAATAATTTTTTTGAATAAAGGTATTGTAGACACATAATTCTAAATTAAAGAAATGCATATGTATTATTTTTTGTTGTAGCTACTAAATTATTATCATTTATTTATTTAATTTAATAAGAATAAAATAGAGTACTAATTATACCAACTTTGATTGGGATGAAAAAATTAACTGACAAGCATTTTGCTCTTTAATTGGGTCGGGGACTCGGGGCCGGTGTGAATGAGGATTATTTAAAGTATGATACGAACTTAAAGGTTCCTCCTATAATTAGGACCTGCTCAGGACACCACGTGATCTGACAAAAAAAATAAATAAAAAATTCATATATTATTATATATCCCTGTGAAGTGAGTCAAATGTTGCAACAATCTTTGTTGAACAAGTTTTTTTTTGGTTGCCCAAAGGTATCCCTCCAGCTGAAAGCCAGAAGACTAATTCCCCGTCCCTACGGTCAGCACACTAAGTGGTAGGGGACTGGCCAAATGATTTACTCCATTCACATGGGTGGGGATCGAACCCCCAACCTCATGTTTAAGGGACAAGGTGCTGAACAAGTTAAATGAATGGGATCAATCAGCAGTACGTCTACAAGATTGGGTGAATGTAGCATTAAAAGAATATATAGGAAAAAAATCACATTTAATTAATGGAAAAGGGTAGGAAAAAGTGAACCCAGTCTTGAGGAGGGATTCAATGTACAAAATCATATCTAATCCATGGTAAAAAAAGATATCAATGGGCCTAGAGGTTAGGCACAAATGTATGTATGGGGAAGCTGTAGGAATGTTGTGGATTATTGATTATAGCCTGCCCAGCTTCTTTTGCATACATTTGGCCATTTGAGAGTGCGATTAATGTCACCCCACCCATGGTTTTCTCCCTTTCTACTACTGCTCGAATTCTTGTCCTCACCCTGCCAAACCACTGCCGACCGATCACAATCATGATTTTTGAAGCTCTATGTTCACAATTTTAGAGCTTTATATTCATAATTTTATCAATATTATTCATATTGTAAATTCATAATGTCAGAGCTCTGTGTTCATAATTGCATAACTGTATATTCATAATTCAATAACTATAAAATCAGGCCCGCCCAGTTCAATGAGTCTCTTGTCTTGGAACTGTCGTGGGCTTGGGAACCCAAAGACAGTTCAAGTCCTAGTGGACCTAGTCCACTCAAAGAGACCCAACATTATTTTTTTAGCTGAAACTTTTGCAGGTCCAAACAAACTTCACCCCATCCGCAACAAATTAGGATACCTGGGTCTTTTCTATGTAAAAAATGAAGGCCATAGCGGTGGTCTTGCTCTCTTCTGGAAGGATGGCACAGAAGTCACCATACGTTCCTACTCTAAACACCACATCGATGCTATTGTTTCTCTGAACGCCGGAGACTCTATATGGCGCTTTACCGGTTTCTATGGGGCACCTGATAGACATGAGCGACAACAATCCTGGTCCTTACTCAAGCGATTAGCTACCTCCAGCACACTACCATGGGTAGTCATGGGAGATTTTAACGATGTGCTTCACCCTGAGGAGAAACGCGGCGGGAATCCCCAACCCATGAGATTAATCCGAGGCTTTCGAGAGGCAGTTGAAACAAGTGGTTTGAAAGACTACGCCTTTGATGGTTACCAATTCACCTGGGAGCGCTCAAAAGGTACCCCTACTTGGATTGAAGCAAAATTGGATCGAATCCTTGTCACAGATTCTTGGTGTGAGATGTTTACAAGTGCTAAGGCTTGCTCTGTCACCACTCCGAAGAGCGACCACATGCCTCTCCATCTACAAATTCTGCCGCCCCCAATTCATAATCCTAGTATCAGATACCGGTTCGAAAATCTATGGTTACGTGAAGCACATTGCAGGGAGGTTATGATTGATAGCTGGTCTAAATCTCATGGTCAGGACCTAATGAACAGAGTGGGCCGCTGTGGAAAAGCTATATGGATTTGGGGGAAAAATTTCGCACGAGACTTTCAGCGCCGTCTGGATTTCTGGCGTCGGCGTATGGAATCTACTAAGCACAGACGTGACCAACTAGGCATTTCTCAGTTTTCTGAAGCCCAAGCGCAATATCTTCGCGTCCTTCAGCAACAAAGTGACTATTGGCGTCAAAGGGCAAAACAATTTTGGCTAAAGGATGGAGATACCAATTCCAGCTTCTTCCACAAGTCAGTCCGTCGAAGACAACAAGCAAATCGGATAACTAAGCTCAAGGATAGCAACGGGAATTGGGTCGAAGGAGGTACTGCTCTGGATTCTCTCATTACTTCTTATTTTCATGATTTATTTTGCTCTTCTCTGGATATTATGAATGCTGCTGCCGACTGTATTGTGCCTCTAATTAATGCTTCCCATAATGCTTCTCTGAGCCGAACTGTTACCTTCCAAGAAGTAAAAGATGCTTTGTTTGATATGAAACCGGATAAATCCCCAGGCCCGGATGGTCTTAATCCGGGTTTCTTCCAACACTTCTGGGATATAATTGGCAGTGAATTGCACCATTTTTGTTCAGATTTCTTTCGAACAGGAAAGCTCCCAGTCAGCCTCAATTCTACCTATATTGTCCTCATCCCAAAGAAAACCAAACCTGACTCAATGGGCGATCTAAGACCTATTGCTCTATGCAATACCCTCTACAAGCTTCTATCTAAGGTTCTAGCAAATCGCATTAAACCTTTGTTGGCAAACATTATTTCTGAATCCCAATCGGCCTTTGTTCCGGGAAGACTTATCTCCGATAACATCATGCTAGCCTTTGAGTTGAACCACTACCTCAAACGAAAGAGCCAAGGGAATACAGGTTATGTGGGGGTTAAACTGGATATGAGCAAGGCTTTTGACAGAGTTAATTGGTACTTCCTGTTAAAAGTCATGGAAAAAATGGGCTTCTCTAGTCACTTTGTGAACTTGATTCGAGAAATGATCTCAACTGTCAGATATACCATTCTTCTTGAAGGAAGGGCAATTGGTACAGTAATCCCTAATCGTGGCCTCAGACAGGGTGATCCAATGTCACCATATCTCTTCATTCTCATCCTTGAATCTCTCCACCTTTTGATCCAAAAATCCCAGACTTCCGGGCTGCTCCATGGCATATCCATAGCCCGAAGAGCCCCAACTATAACAAATCTCTTTTTTGCAGATGACTGTTATATATTTTGCAAAGCTACTCCATCTGAAGCCGCAGCTCTCAAAAACATCCTTGAAACCTTCACCTCTGCCTCTGGCCAATCTGTGAACTACACAAAATCTACCCTTTCCTTCAGCAGAAACACATGTACCAACTCCAAGACTGCCTTTTGCAATATTATGGGCATTAGAGAGGGCAATCTGAATGGAAGCTATCTTGGCCTACCCTCTATCATTGGTCGTAACAAACGTGAAATTTTGGGTTTCATTAAAGATAAGGTTGTTGGCAGAATCAAGAGTTGGACACATAAATTCCTATCTAGAGCCGGTAAAGAAATTCTTCTTAAAAATGTTATCCAAGCCATACCAACTTTTGCAATGAGTGTTTTCCTCCTTCCTATCGAAATGGGTAAGGACATTGAAAGAACCATGAATAGCTTTTGGTGGGGATGTACTGGTGACAGAAACAAAGGAATTCGTTGGAAAAGTTGGGAGAGATTGAGTATACCTAAGAAATGGGGAGGTATGGGCTTTAAACGTATTAGGGAATTCAACATTGCCATGTTAGGAAAACAAGCTTGGAGACTTGTTCAACAACCTAACTCCTTGTTATCCAGAGTTTATAGAGCAAAGTATTATCCCAACTCATCTTTCTTTGATGCTCAACTTGGAAGCAATCCCTCTTTCATATGGCGTAGCATTCTTGAAGCCCAACACACTCTTAAGATGGGCTGTCGATGGAGGATAGGAGATGGCAACTCTGTCAATATTTGGACCGACCCTTGGCTTCCCAATTCTGAGTTCCCATTCATCCAAACATCTATGCCGGATCATCCTCTTGTTACATCTGTGGCTTCCCTGATTAATGCAGTTGATCACTCGTGGAATGCCACCCTTATTGGCTCAACTTTCAGTCAAGTTGACAGAGATTTGATCTTGTCTATTCCGCTACCGAATTCTCCTACCAATGACAAGATTATTTGGATGCATGATGAGAAAGGAAAATTTACTGTTCGGAGTTGTTACAAACATATATTGGGTAATATGGATCATCTTCAACCCCCTTTCTGGACAAGAGCTTGGAAACTTAATCTCCCACCAAAAATAAAATCCTTTCTATGGCAGCTATGCTCCTCCTCCTTACCCACTTGTGATAATCTGAGGTCTAGGCATGTCCAAATTCCAGATTCTTGTCAAATATGTAACGTTGTAGGAGAGACTGATTTCCACCTCTTTGTTATCTGTCCACTTGCACGTAACTGTTGGGATATCTTGGGAGGTGTTGATTATCATTCTGACAACACTTTTTTTGATTGGCTGGAGCGTATCTTCTCCTCTAAATCTGATGCTGATATATGCTTAATTATCTCTATCTGTTGGAAATTATGGGAGGCCAGAAATGAAAAGCTCTGGAACCACACTATTCTCAATGCATCTTTTATTTGCCTATCAGTCAAAAACTTCATTTTTGAATGGCCTAAAGTAAATGCTTATACTGTTTCTAATACCAGGAGTACAGATTCTCTTACTTCTTGGACCAGACCTCCTCATGGAATGCTTAAGCTCAATGTTGATGCTGCCCTTGACTCCGCTAACAAAAGGATGGGTTTTGGATTCATTCTTCGTGATCACACAGGCGCACTTGTTGCAGCTAGAAGGCTCCCCTGGTTCTCTCTACACAAGCCGAATGAAGCCGAAGCTATTGCTGTTCGGGAAGCGTTGAAGTGGATCAGAGGCACCAATATTGATAATGTGCTGCTTGAAACAGATTGCCTACAAGTTGTTAATTCCATCTCTATCTCTCATGCTTTCAATTCCTCCTTTGATCTTTTAGTTAATGATGTTAGATCTATAGCCGCAGTTTTTAGTAACTTAGGCTTTTTGTTTGCTAAACGGTCCGCGAACAGGGTTGCCCATACACTAGCTCGGGAAGCCTTGTCTATGCCTGACTGTTCTGATTGTTCGTTTGTTCCCTTTCCTTCCATTGCTCCGTTTTTGAGCATGGATCTTGCTTAATATATATTTCCTCGTCTATTTCAAAAAAAAAAAAAAAAAAAAAAAAAAAATAAAATCATAATTTTTGAAGCTCGATGTTCACAATTTTAGAGCTCTATGTTCATAATTTTATCACTATATGTTCATAATTGCAAGTTCATAATTTCAGAGCTCTGTGTTCATAATTTTATAACTTACATTCATAATTCCATAACTGTACATTCATAATGGCACAAACGAATAACACCGATGACCTTTTTTCTCTGAAAACAACATCGTTTTGAATTTGTGTCCACAATGCATTGTGGACACGGGTCCAAAGCATCATTTGCGGACCGACCAAGCACGACGAAATCGGGCCTAGATTCTTGTAAAATCCAACCTACCTTAAAAAAACAAGCGACTCCGACGTTAGAATTCTCGCAAAACCACCGTCCCATCCACGTGCTCCCACAACTTCTTCATTCCTCAATTCCCAAAATCTCATCTATCTCCGATCCGATAGATAATCCCATTCCTTAGCTTCTGTCTATATATACACACATGACACACCCCACTTATTATCTCCTCCCAATCCTCAACAAAACAAGCTTCATTCGATCTGCATATTTTTCTTCAATAAAATAATCAAATATTACTGCAAATTAAACACTACTTCAAGCTAATCCATTACAATGGCTTCCAAAAATGTTAGCTTGGACCAAAAGTTGGCCATGGCGAAGCGCTACTCTCATGGTATATATACATCTGATCTTCCTTACAACCTATTAGGTAAGGATTGATAATTATTGAATAATCAATAAATATAATTTGTTGTGCAGAGGGCGTTGTTGCAGGAGCTAAAGCAGCCGCAGTTACAACCGTAGCAACTGCCATTCCCATGGTAAGCTAAGCTAGCTCAATCTCTCTATTTTGTTACATTTTATCTGTGTTGTTTACTATTTAAACAGATTTTATGTGCAGTTGGCTAGCGTGAGGATGGTACCATGGGCGAAGGCAAATCTGAACCCGACAGCACAAGCTCTGATAGTCTCAACGGCGGCGGGGATGGCGTACTTCATCGTCGCCGACAAGACTGTTCTCGCTACGGCACGACGGAACTCTTTCAATCGCCCCGCCGACCACCGTTAATTGCTTATTAAATAGCTAGCACCGTTATGTATCTTGTCCGGCCACTTCCCGCCGGTAGCCCGATCGCTACATATGTATCAGTAAACTGCTAATACGCCCACCGGCCCACCCTATCTATCCATCCTTCTCAATATAAATAATTACTTTATTGTATATATATGTCCAAACTCGTTAATATAATCACATTATATGTCTATGAATCTATGATTCAGTTAACCGGATATTATTGAAATTATTTTTTATTTAACTTTTTTATAATTTTAAGTTTATTATTAATGTATAAAATTTATATATTTAAAAATTACATTAAAAATATTATTAAATATAAAAAATTTAAATTTTAAAATAATTTTAAAATATTAAAGAAAAGACACAAGTGTCAAATAGGTCTATTTATTATTGTTAAGTGTTTAATTTCCACCACGAACTAAATTAAGTATCAAATAAATTCATTTACCAGCTAAATTAGACGCCCAAACGACGTCATTTTTGCATCCGTATGCCGGATGCATAACGCTCCCAAACTTCCGTATCGCCATTCGTAGCGTAACATGCACTATGCTCATAAACCCGTTTCACAACCTGGGCCATATTCATTTTCACACAAGAGCAAACAGAAATCTATATATAGATACTGTTGATTACCCAAATCCCAATTTCATCTATGAATAATATAAAGGCTAATTCCGGGTTGAGCTTAACTGATTTGGGGTTTCAACAGGGTTAGATATTGGTAGCGCGCGCATATTACAGCCTTACAGCTCAGATATGGACAACACTACTTGCTTCAGCAATCCTACCCCTTGTGGGAAGTATCTTAGGTACTGAATAGACATTCTTGCTGGTTGCTGGTTATTGAATTTGTCTTTCACTTGTGTGGGCTCATTGTTAAGATCGTTCATGTGTGGGTTTATTATCTTTCTTTTGTTTAATTCCACCCTTCTTCTTGTGATAGTGTAAAGTTGCAATTGTTATACCATGGACCAGTTCATCTTGCATTGTTTGTGGACTTTGATTTATATTTTGTACTTGCAGTTAATGTGTTTGTAGTTAATATATTATATGCTTTCAATTTATTTACACTACAAAAATGGTTAATTGTAGGTATCAGCCTTCCCGTCAGTCTCGTTGACTCTGTGCAGGAATCCATCTCAACATTCCGACCAACTTAGGGAGCCCAATGGCCCAAACTCGAGCCTGGGGAACCCTAGCTCCCCGATGCGGGTGGGAGTGGAACCCCACTGGAGTGGTAACTTTAGGTCAGTGGTCGACCACTTTAGTTAGCGGGAGCCCCGCTGGCCTGGGCAACTTTGAGAACTAGGATGCTGGAAATTAAAGAACTCTGTAGAAGATGGTAGTTGCTTTGCATCCAATAACCTGGGTTATGGTAGAGCATATCTTATACTGTCACAGACTTACAGGGAAATGATGGTTAATTCCTGATTAAGACACCCATAATATTTTTGCATATGTGGCTACTCGATGCTGCATTGCAATGGATCAAGATTGATCATTACTTTTGATGCATGTAACATGGTTTCGGGTCCAATGATCCATTGACAAAATGTCCAATGAATATAATCCATCTGTCTTATTCTGATGCTGTGGAATATAATGTGCACTGATGCCAAAAGAAGTCATCACTGAGCTAGATGAGGAGCTTTCTCGAGATCTTTTCTGGATTTGGGTGATTATTGGTTTGATAATTAACAGGTACAGGCGGATCCTCTTTCTCTTGGTTTGATGTTATGTGTAATTTTGATTATTATATTGTACATGTTACCATCTTCCTTTTCTGAAACACTCATGAAGCCAATAAAGTTTCCGCAAAGTCCAGCGTTTATTAAGTCTGAGTTGAGAAGTTTCATAATCCTTGCCCTTAACAACACATTATCAACTTGTAAATTTGCTTTGAGACCTTTCAATCCCCTCTTTTAGATAAAACTAACATAGAAAGTGAAAAGGGCATCTACAGTCATTTTCGTGCTTTTGTGACTAGCAAGTAGACTTAAGTTTTGTGCTATCTTTTCTTCTTCTTGTTCTGTTCTTTTCCCAGTGAATGACTTGCAATATAGGAGTAGAGCAGAATATATCATTATCAAACAATAATTAGCACACCAATAAGCACTAGCTAAACTTTAATCTGCATAACGTAATAGGAATATGCAAAATTCAAAAGCAACGGCTATTTCTCTCATCCCCATTAGGATGTGGATTCTAGCTAGTATTATTGAAGAGAATTGTCTACCTTTAGAGAATAGTCACAGATAAAGAATAAAGGATGAAGATTTGAATGAGGTTTTCATTGTATACAATATTCATATTGTCTGGTTAAAAAACGGTGATTAGGATTCCTCCTTATCGAATCCCAGGTGAACATGGATGCATTTTGTGCTTACATGTTTTGGCTATGTGTGTGGTTTCAACAAGTAACGGCCCTATAGGTCGTCAAACAACTTCAAATGTGTCACACCCTCTAACGACTGTTCCTGCTTTTCCATTATGAACACTATTTTCAGTTGTTTTACTACAACTTCAAAAAAAAATGGAACTTCTACAGATGCTCTAAACTAGACAGGGACCTAGCTAGAGTGATTTTTATAATTTAGGCATATAGTCATTATACTCTATAATTAGGCCTTCAATTTGCTAAGAATCCTAAGATGATCTTTAATTTAGATATTCTATCATCAATTTTATACTCTATTCTGGCTGACTTTAAAACATATTTCTTCGTCTATTTAAATTGTACATTGCATTGTTTGATTGAGTATAATAACATATTGATTCATTAATCCACTTTATTATATACTCCCTCCGTCCCATTTTACATGTCGTACTTTCTTTTTTGGTTTTTCCCAAAATAGTGTCATCTTTCCAAAATTGAACATAGCTATCACTCTACATTTCCCAATTTACCCTTTTGACTTTTCAAATTTTTAGAGGCAAGTACAATTGTACTTTGTACAAATAACACCTACTTTTGAGGGACAAACTTGGAAAGTTAGTAAAATATGTTATGTTGCATTAAAAACCGTGCAAAAAACAAGTAAGACAATCAATTAGGGAAGGAGGGAGTAGTTTTTAATGAGCTTTCTTCTTATTTTCTTTTCCCATTGTATCTTAACACAATGCCCAGATCTTTATCATCAAATGATGCTGCTTATGATTATTCCAAGAAATGTGGCACAAAACTATGCTACAACGAAATAGGGGATCTTGATAAAGAGAAAACATATTTGCCAAATTTCCCACCGGGTAGAAAGTTCTGGTTTCAAACCCCACAACAAGGCATGTTAACTATAGCCTATGTTGTGACAACCCCAGCCAAGTTGGTCAGGGCGTCAGGCTATTAGCTTGGTAACCACAAGGTTCTAAGTTCAACCCTCCCAGTGGGAGCCTTCTTGGTTTGAGTTGATCAACTGCCTTAGTTTGATCTCTTAAAGGTAGATACACATTTTTAATGTGGAAGGGGAACTTGAAGATTGCCACTGAATATGAATCTTCAGTTTGCTTTTGAATTATTGAGAATCAAATCAAAAAGGGAGAATAGATATTGGCTTCATTGAGCATTATGAGGAATCGATTCCCACATGGTAAATTGCTTGTAACTTTTTTCCAGTTTGGAACTGAACCATGTCTACCTATACTACATAAGCCTACTCAAATGGAGATTGTCTGTGCAGGATAACACCGATGTTACACACACACTTGGTGAATGCGAGTGTGCACATCCATATCATCTTTACGTGGCTAGCATCCATCTTACTGGCAGATGGAGGTGAAATATCCTTGTACTCGCCTTCTAAATATGATTTTCTCTTGTAAGTTCCTCTAGAAATGGATATCGAACAGACCATAATATTGAAACCATTTAAGATGAAAATTGTGGGGAATCTGTAAAGAGGGGAATAACTGGACTATATGTGCCTCTCTCCATGCATAATTCGTTTAACAGTTGACAAAACATAAGTTAGAGAGCCAACACACCTGTCCATATGGTACTTCTGTTAAGGAAACCATTTGAAAGTATAAACGTATGAAAAGATTATTTAGGGCCCCACCAGTAAGGTCGTTTGATGTATATATAAACCATCCCAACACATTCACCAAAAGCCACCAGTTTCAGCAAGCAATTCTTCTGTTTAAAGCTGTGTAAGGCCAGTCCTCTGCACCTTGTCCTGGTAAGGCATTATTATTAGTGTTTTTTCTTATGCAGTTCATATAATTTCTTCAATCTGGAAGTACACACTTCATTCTTCCGGTTCATACACTTGCCACAATCTTGGATTGGAAGATTGATGCAAACTATTTTCTAGGATCCTACTATTCAACTTTGATCAATAACAAGATTAATGTGCGAATTCTAGTATTCCATCATTTACTTTGACATGTCAGAAGGCTTTGCTTTTCAGAAAGATGCGATTATTTTCCGATGCACCTGATAACTAATGAATACTACAATCATTATTCTATCTTGTTGCATTTTTCTTTAAAAATCCTGTTTGGTTATGAATAAATATACTTTGAACCTTTTGTTCTTGCCATATGTTTTTATTTATTGAATGTTCAAATTTTCCAGAAACCAAGACGGTGAATGAACCAAGAAGGAGATTGGATGTGCGCCGCATGTCAACACATAAATTTTAAGAAACGAGATGCATGCCAACGATGCAATTGTCCTAAGTATGCTTCTGAAGCTGATGCGGCTTTATATGGGCGTAATAAATCAGAGGTCTTGCCCGGGGACTGGTACTGCAATGCCTGTTGTGCTCACAACTATGCAAGCCGAACAAACTGCTACAGATGTGGAGCCTCGAAAATTGGCTATTATGGCCTTGGGGCTGGAATGATAACACCGGGAAGTTATGGATATGATGCAAGTGTCCCTCCGGGATATAAGAAAGGTGACTGGATTTGCAACAGGTTAGTTGACAACTTGACATTTTATCTTGTATTTCTTCACATATGATAACTGTTTCTGATTAAGAAATGACAAAAGCAGAAGTTTAGTAGTTTCCATGCAGAATTTACTGCCAATACATGATCACATTACCCACAGAATAACAAACTGTTTTAACACAAGAAGTTTTTTAATTTTGATCGATCCTCAATAAAATAGTAATGTCGAGTTATTATAACCTATATGGTATTTTCATGCACATTCTTATCTGATAGAAGTGGATGTTATATTGGACAGACTTGGATGTGGTTGGCACAATTATGCCAGCAGAACGGAATGTTATAAATGCAGGAATCCTCGGGATTTCAGTGAGCCATCATCCATGTGATTCGGGTACAGCATAGTCAATCATTTTTGTTCTTTGAATGCAACTATTATATTCAATTACTGAAACATTTTATGTCTTTCTTTTGTTCCCAGGAGATGATCTCTAAAGAAAGTAATTAAGGAAGAGAGGCATAATATCCTAGAATTACTAAGAATCCAAAAACCTTCAAAATCATTTCTTTCTTTTCTATTTTCTCATGTATCTCTTGTCTTTTCTCAGTTGATCAAATAATCTTTGACCAATTTGCACTAGGATGGTTTCTAACTATATTGTTGTATGGTGCAAAGAAAGTCACTTGAATGAAATCCCTTTAGATTTTCCACTCTCTTGTATTTGATGCTTCAAATATTCAAACTTTTATAATTGAGTGGCACCTTTTGTTGATTAGTAATGTGTAAGCGGTAACTTAGGGGCGCAAACCCGAGCCGAGCTCGAGCTCGATTACTAACAAGGGGGCTCAAGCTCGAGCTCGAAAAATAGAGTTCAAGTTCAGCTTGTCATTTTTTCAAGCAGTTCTAGTGTTCGAACTCGAGCTCGAGCTCGAGCTGAAGATCAACTAGAAACACCTATCGGCGGAGTTCAGACTTCTCTTTCTTGCTCTTTCATTGCAAGTTCACTTGTTCAAAAAGGATGTTTATAGGTTCTTCATTGCCAGACTCAAGTTCTCTATTATAATCATTCTCTAAGTTTTTTTGTATGTTACACTGGTATCTGAAGAAATGATATTAATCCGTTCGAGTTTTGATCGACCCCATTGGGTGGTTGTGGGGATGACAAACAAACCTTATATTGTAACATATATAATCCACTGCAAAATTCAAGAGATTAACCCAAATATTGCTGAACTTTCAATATCTTTCCTGATGCTAGGCAAGTGCCAGTGTTCACCATGAGCTACTTCCAGCATATCCTCCTGGGCTCCAGACAACTAGAACAAATTCTATATATAATTAGAGCCACCACTTTCTGTTTCACACAAAAGTTTTTTATTCTTTCTAAGATATATAATCAACATTATGTCCATTTAGTAAGATTCTATAAACTATTGGAGTTTTGTAAAGTCAATACAATTATTTATTGTACATATTTGGCATTGTGAAGTTAAAAGATACGGAGTAATTTATTTGTAGATAAGATGTTCTATAAATGGGTTGTTTGTCAAATAGCTATTAACTGATAGCGGATTGACTTAGCTGATAGTTGTTAGTGGATTTGAGTAGCTGATAGCATTAGCTGGTTATAAAAGGATGTTTGATAAATTAGTTCTTAGTTGATAGCTAATTACATGCAAAATGACATTTTAAAGGTACGACTGTATTATGTTATTTTAACTTATAATAATATAATAGCCAAGCACCTTGTGCTCAAATGGTACCTCTGTGGCTTCCCTTGAGGGAAAGTCCTGCACCACGGCGCGCGTTGCATTGTGCGCCCAGATGCAAAACGACGTCGTTTCAGATTGTTTTTTTTTTTTTGAAAATTCGCTACCCAGTGTTTGGCGGTTAATTTTCCTTAAAAAAAATCTCATGTTAAAAAATGTACATAATGTTATACACGAATGTACAAAATTGTATAACAAAATATACATATTGTTTTTTAAAAGATAATACACATAATCTAACATAATACATAATAAACATAAACTTTTAACATAATACACATCAACTCTTAACATAATACACAAAAATTTCCTGATTCGCATGTACATATATAATTGTATAAAAAAAATGTACATAATTATATAAAAAATGTACATAATAAAAAATATACATAAATATATGAACAAATATACATAATCACAGCAACTTACTACCGCGCCTCCTAAAACGACATCGTTTTGGGAGGCGCGCGACCACAGTGCTACGCGCGCCGTGGTGTAGGGTATAACGATTGGCTAATTACCTAGACTCAAGCACCCCTAGAAAATATGAAATCCAAAATAGAAAGTGTTTTAGAAAAGGGAAATTCTAAAAATAATTAAAAATAGAAAATTAATGATAAATGCATTAAAACTCTTCCGATTTAAAATGTCTTGACTCTTGATGCAATAATATATTTTTAAGTTGACAAAAAAAGTGTTGCTTGGTTCGTGGAAATTGGAATACATAAAAAAAAAGGAATGTCGTTTCTTAAAATAAATTTAATATGCTGTTTGGTTTAGTTTTTAACTTCTTACAAAAATATTAAAATTTCTAGGAATGGATTATTCTATTTGCAATGGGAATAATAGGTCGCTAGGAACATCTATTTTTATTATTTCAAAAATATCTTTATAAACCCTTTACATAAATACATATATTTCCAAGCTTCATCCAAGCATTTATGATCAATTTATCAGTTTCGTATTATCAGTAAGGTACAATAATAAATGTTTATATGTTTCTTCTTTCTTTCTTTCCTTTTGTTTTCAATTTCATATGTGCACGTGTATATATATATTGATAGGGATTATTCCTAACTATATCACATCATATACTTGGTTGGTATCAAAGCGGCCTATTGAGAGGATATGTATCCGATCATGATCGACCTCCTAGAACATTGACCCGACATGGATCGTTGATCGAATGTAGTTCCCTTGTTAGTGGAGTCTAGTTCTCTTTATTGCGCTCCAATCATATATGATCAGACTGACCATCCGACCTATGGTACTCAGAACTTTATGCTTATGAATATATAGCTTTATAATTATAAACATATAGTTCAGTAATTATGAACATAGAGTTTTGTAATTGTGAATATATTGTTCAATAAGTATGAATATAAAGTTAAAAAATTATGAGTATATATCTTTATAATTATGAACATACAACAGTGTCCACCTTGTAAGGTGGACAAGGTTCCACAGCATAATGATTGCGTGATAACTCGGCCCACATTAGTTGACTCCAACCACTACGGTCCAAGCATACTTTCTCAACCTTTTGAAACACAAAGAGTCAACACCACTTTCACTGAACCTCGATTTCATGACCTCCCGTATGGGAGAATCACTACATAAACTTTGTAGTTAATTCTTCCCAAACTTTGTAGTTAATTAATTAGTTATTTTGAGTTTCAAAGTTTCTATCTTTTTGTAGAGGTTAAGGTTCAAGGTCAAGAAGAGCCATATGTGAGGGTGAACATAGGCACAGATGTTTCCAATTTCTTGTCTCCCGCCATGACTAGAGACGAAGGTCTCTTCGTCTCCCGCCATGATCAAGGGGTTAATTTGTTTGTTTGTTTGTTTGTTTTGTTTTTAATATTTAAATAATTATTTTATTTAAATTTATTAAATAAAATTTTTTAAAAATATTTTTAAATCCGGTAACTGACACGTCAACAATTACCAGTTAACAACTTAACATGTCATTTTATCTTGAATTACATGAATTTATGTTGTTTGGGGATGTAATTGTAATTGTTTTTTTTTTTTTTTTTTTTTTTTTTTTTTTTTTTTTTTAGTTTGATGACCCAATTACAGTTTGCTGTGTAATTGGATGACATATTTAACACTTATTCATATAATAAATAATTTAAGAAATATCTTTATTTTTATTTTTTTGGAAAAGAAATATCTTTATTTAAACAATTTTTTTTAAGAACATAACTTGAAAAAGTATCGTTAGGATTAAAGGTCAAATAAGTCATCATACTACACAACAAATTATAATTGGGCCATCGAATTAAAAAAGAAAAATTGCAATTAGGTCATTGAACAATACAAATTTGTGTATTTCGACCTAAAATAACATGTTGACCTAATAACAGTTAATGTGACGGTTACTAAATTTAAAAATATTTTTTAAAATTTGATATTAATAAAATTAAATAAAATAATTAATAATTTATTTATTAAAAAAACAAACAAACAAACCCACTCGTACCCTGCGGCCATGCTTTCGTCTCCCACTAGGGATGGCAATTTCAATCCGACCCGTGGATATCCACCCGAATCCACCCCGCATGGATCGGGTTTTTTTGGGTGATGGTGGGTGGTGGGTCGGGGGTGGGTCTTAAAAAAGAAAACCCGCTGTGGGTCGGGTTGGATTCGGGTTCTATGTACAAGACCCGCCTAGAACCCCACCCGACCCACCATGTGTGTGTGTATATATATATATATATATATATATATATATATATATATATATATATATATATATATATAATAGTAAAATAAATACTAGTATGTAGTTATTTATAATAGTTTATATAACTCCGTGTATCTTTTTACTATTTTTTATATCAAAACTACTAAGTTTATTTTTAAAAATTAATAATTTAGTTATTATATTTAAATATTTCCATTATTTATGTTTTAGTATCACTAATGGATTTTATTTTTTTATTATGTGTAAATAATTTAAATATTATTTTTTGAAAAACATAATAAGATGATAAGTGGTGGGTACCCGTAGTGGGCACCTGCACCCGGTGGGAGTGGGGGTGGGTTCTGAAAAAGTCCACCCGATGCGAGTTGGAGGTGGGGGTGGGTGGAGAAAATATAAAGTGGGTCGGGTGATGGATGTAGCCCTCCCCGACCCACACCCGACCCATTGCCATCCCTATCTCCCACCCTAGAGACGAAGAATTCTAAGCGCGCCCTTTTCCTCTGCCTGTTCCTCGTCCTCGTCGCCACTCCCCTCTCATTCTCTGCCGCTCCAAATTCTCACATTTTCCCATGTTCTATTTCCAAAATTCAAAAACCCCTTGTAGTTAATTCTTCCCAAACTTTTTAGTTTTTTTTTGGAACACATAAACTTTGTAGTTAATTATATTAATTAGTTGTTTTGAATTTCAAAGTTTCTATCTTTTTGTAGAGGTTAACGTTCAAGGTCAAGAAGAGCCATATGTGAGGGTGAAGATAGGCACAGATGTTTCCAATTTCTTGTCTTCTGTCTCTTCGTCTCCCGCCATGACTAGAGACGAAGGTCTATTCGTCTCTGGCGGAAAGAAAAAGGCAGGGGTGGGTTTGTTTGTTTGTTTTGTTTTTAATTTTTAGATAATTATTTTATTTAAATTTATTAAAATAAAGTTTTTAGAAAATATTTTTAAATTCGATAACCAATACATCAACATATTACTAATTAACAGCCTAACATGTCATTTTATGTTGAATTACATGAATTTATGTTGTTTGGAGATATAATTACATTCTTTTTTAGTTTGATGATCCAATTACAGTTTGTTGGTTAGATGACTTATTTGACCATTATTCTTATAATAAATATTTTAGGGAAAATGGCACTTTTTCCCCCTAAGTTATATACTTATAGTACTTTTCCCCCATGAATTATTTAAGTAGCTCTTTTCCCCCCCTGAAATGTTAAATGGACATATTTC